GGGGGACTGAGGCAGGAGAACTGTTTCAGCACACAAGTTTGAGACCAGCTTGAGCAATGCAGCAAGAGCCCACCTCATAAATAAAATAATAAAATCATAAAAAGTGTCTTCTCTAACAGAATGAAATAAAACAAATGAGCATCAGAAGGATACATACTGGGAAGCTTAAGATCACAATCCCACCCAAAGTGGTCCACAGAGATAAGGCGACCATATCAAAATCCTGATCCCCCCCTTTTTTCCCCCCAGAAATGGAAGCAAATCTTAGAATTCATTGCAAAGAAACCTGGATAGGAAAATCAGTCTTAAAAAAGAACAAAGCAGGAAGACTCACATTACCTTATAAAACCTACCAGAAAGCAACAGTCACCGAGAGAGTAAGGAACTAGCAAGGACACACCTGAGGACAATGGGAGAACTGCGAGCACACAGGCTCTGACGACCTGAGGCCAAGTAATACTTGACAAGGCCCCAAGACCATTTGTTGGGGGGAAGACCAGCCTCTTTTACAAAGGTGCACAACTGGGGACACACATGCTAAAGAATGAAGCTGACACCTTCTCCACACCTTATGTAAGATTAACCCAATGACTCAAACACCTGGATCTAAATGCCGACACTAGAAAACTGCTGGAAGCAAACAGGGCTGGGTCTTCACGACTGTCTCCAGCAATGGTTTCTTAGGTAAGAGACCAAAAGTGCAAGAAGCAACGAGGTAAACTGGACTTTATCAAAATTAAAATTTTTATGCATCAAAGGACACTATCTTGAAAATGAAAAGAGACCCATGGAATGGAGAGAAATTATTTGCAAATTATACTTTGAATAAGGGTTTACTACCCAGAAGACACAACAAACTTTTACAACCCACTAAGAGAAGAACCAACAACCAATTTAAAAATGAGCAAAGGATTTGAATAGACACTTCTTCAAAGAAGAGATACAAACAGCCAGGAAGTGCATGGAAAGAGGCTCAGTGTGGTCAGTCACGGGGAAATGCAGATCAAAGTGAGACTCCACTCTACATCTCTCAGACAGCTACCACCAAGGACACACGTGGGGAGGTGGAGAACGCTGGACTCTCTCTCACTGTAGGGATGTAAATTGGTGCAGTTGCTGTGGAAAGGGCTGGCAGTTCCTTAAAAGCTAAACAAGTATCATGACCTGTCAGCATCCCCAGCCAAGAGAACTGAAAGCAGGTGTGTCAACAAAAATTTACACACAAATATTCACAGCAGTATTAGTCATGATAGCCCCAAAGTAGAAACAACCCAAATGTTTATCATCCAATGAGTGGATAAACAAAATTTGATTATGTCCACACAATGGAATACCATTCAGTTCCTATTAAAAGGAACGAAACACTGATATATGGTACAACAGAGCTATAAATACTGTGTCACATGAAAAAAAAAAGGTTACATATTTTATAATTTCATTTACATGAAATGTTGAGAATTGGCAAATCCATAGATAGAAAGCAGATTAATGGTAACCAGCAGCAACGGATGGAGAAGGTAATGGTACTGACTGCTTAAAAGGAATAGGATATTTTGCTACAACGAAATACCTGAAGCTGGATACTTATATTTATAAGCTAAAGAGGTTTTATTTTGGCTAATGATTCTGAAGTTTGATAAGTTGAAACATCATGGTGCAGGCCTCTAGAGAAGCCTCTGTGGCTCTGTTATAACATGGTAGAGAAGTGGGAAGGGAACCAGCTCCCGAGAGATGGGACTAAGCACATGGAGTGGCCTTCCTTTACAACAACCTATATTCCAGAGAGCTAACCTGGTGCCACCGACCTGACTCATTCCCTTTCTAGGAGTGCTGCTCCCTGATCCACTCATCTCCACCAGGCCCCACTACCTTGGTACTGCTTCACTGGGGACCAAGTTTCCCGTACATGAACCTTTGAGGGAGACACCATAGTTAAACCAGAGCAGGGGTGACAAAGAGTTCTGACTTTGTAGTGCTGATGATGGCACACAACACTGAGAACATTAAAAGCCACTTGATGGTACATTCTGCAATAATTCAACTGTTGAATTTTATTGGGCTTACCAAGGGAGGCCAGGTTCCTGCAGTTCTCCAGCATCACGTCTCGGTACAGAGTTCTTTGAGACGGGTCCAGCAATGCCCACTCCTCCTGGGAGAACTCCACAGCCACGTCCTTGAAGGTCACCAGGTCCTAGACCATCACAAACATTATGGCTTAGCTACAGAGCTGCCAAAACCAACAGGAAGAGGTCCAGGATGACAGATCCAGGGACAGGAAACCCAGAGCAGGATACGGGTGGGCAGGTCTGGGCTCTGTCCTCTGTGCTTGCCTCCTGTCTACTGGGCCCACCCCCAGATCCAGCACTACAGAGGCCTTCTTTTCCTACTGATTGTGATCCCTTGGAGTCTTCCTTCCCTCAACTCCAGGGTTGAGCAGAAATACCTGGTAAAGGAATGAATGATTCCTCACAGCCATCAAAAGTTGTCTGAGGGGCTGGGGCTGTGGCTCAGTGCAGAGTGCTTGCCTAGCATGTGTGAGGTACTGGGTTCAATCTTTAGCACCACATAAAAAATAATAAAGTAAAATAAAGGCACGCTGTCCATCTACAACTATAAAAAGAAGCTGTCTGAGTTGAAGACATGGCCATCTCTTCTCAGCTTCCCCTTGAACTCTCAGAAGCACGTGATGCATTTATGGAGCTAAGAGGGAGCTTTGACAATGTAATAGGTATTGACATACTTGGACGTCTTCTGTGGAGCCCCTGAACTCTCATAGGGGGTCTGGAGGTCCTGTGATGTCTAAGGACCCATCAGTTGTGAGGCTCCAGGCCAGTAAAGGAAGCAATTCCAAAGGAATGACGATAGGGAAAAAGGAAAAGCCGACTCACCTGTAGCCAGCTGGCCAGGAGCTCACCAGCCAGCCCCTCCTTCCCTCTGCATGGTTTCCTGTGAGGGGCTGGGCACAGGGAGGACTGATCTGGGGAAGAAGGAACAAGTCACAAGAATCCAGAATGCCCAGTGCTGACACTCTGGAGGCTTCTCCATCCACCTGTGCTTGACCATACACCAAGATACACAGCCCATAAACAAGCCCACCCACACAGATACCCACCTGCACCTTCACAGAAAACCTGGACAAAGCTGTCTCCCCCTGGCCAGAAAACAGGACTCAAAGGTCTGACTGCACATGAAGAAGAGATTGCTGCCATCTCACAGATGAGGACATTGAGGTTCTCAAGTTTTTCTCAAGTTTATCAAAAGAATTAAGGATTAATTCAAAAACTCCCACATATTCACCATGTAGGTGACAGAGCACTAACATACAAACACCCAAGTCCTAAGTCCCAGGAGCCACCCCACCTGACCCCGGGGCCTCTGGGCCCACACCTACCTCACCTGTGTGGCCCTTTCCTCTGTACTGCTCTGGGGGCTATGGACCTTCAAGCCTGAAATGGGCTGCCAAGATCCCTGACTCACCACAAGTGGGGGGCAGAACAGCGGCTGCCATCCTGTGACTCCAACAGCAAAGCTTCTGAACACCAGGGTGGTGGGAAACAGGACCCTCCTCTTGCTCCCACGGGGCACTGGGAGAGCGCTCTGGAACCTGGAACAAGCAGGAGACAGGAAGTCTGCACAGCCTCTCCCTCTTGGGGCTGCTGAGGACAAGTCTTTCTTAGCTCGTCTATCATGCCCTTCTCAAAATACAAGTTCTGTCTTCCACACTTGGTCTTTATTCTGCTTAGCAGATTGTATGTCAGGGGAAAAAAAAAAAAAAAGCAACTGTTTTCCTTTCACTCTCACACCACATCAGCATGGAATTTTGACACCAGCTATGTGGACTTTTCCCCACAAACAAGTAGGCAAATGATTCTGCAGTGGACACCAGCTAGGCACATTTTCTCCCTTGACAGGGTGTCACAGCCCACAGTTCGGAGGCTCATCCCCAAGGCCTTCCCTGGCACTTTAAATGTGAGTCACAAGTCCCAGGTTGTTCTGTGTGCTCTGACCAATGGCTGTAAATAGGGTTTCCCACAAGTGCCTCCTCAGTTTGATGTACTTACTCAATGGCTTGGAGAACTCAGGGAATCACCTACAGACACTTACTGGTTCCTTATAAAGGATATCACAAAGGCACAGATGGAAGTACACAGGGGATGCATGGGGAAGGGGTGCCTTCTCTGGCTGTGTCTCCCTCCGGGAACCTCTAGTACAATTACCTAGGATCTCTCAGAACCCTGATCTTTTGGATTTTTATGCAGACTTCACTGCACAGGCATGACAACCAACAGATGGAGCAGGGAAAGCCACCAGGCCTGTCTGTCCGGATCTCCCTGGCCTCTTTGTAGGGCTTTCCTTACCCAGAGCATGGGACAGAACCCCTCTGGAATGAGCAGTGTCTATGACCCATTATCAGACAAGGTAGGTCAGAGAATTCCCCTATGGCCAGCCAGAGGCAAGAGAAGACTAGATCCTGCCTTGGAGAAGAGAAATTTCACTTTACGGCCTGACACAGAGAGGAAGCTCTGAGCTAGGAAAGGTGCATGAAAACCAACACACTGCGTATCATAATGGCAGAGCCACGCGATGGCACAAGCTGTCTTCCTGCCCCCAAGGGTAGGACCAATATGTCACTGCTCCACTCCTCTTCAAAACTGTGGCTTCACTGAGTCTCCTGAATATTCTTCCCATCCCAGTTGTTATCACAAACCTCACAGCTGCGGCCCCTCAAATTCTGAGACTTTGCCCCTGACTCTCATTATTCCTTGAGCCTCCAATCCCACCTCATTTGGTGGATGGCAGTGATGCTCACAACATTAGGGGTGTCCCAACTCCAGGGCCCCTGCCCTGTTCCCAATAGACCCCACCTTGCCATGGTCATCCACTGGCCCTGGTGTACCACCTGGAACAATCAGAAATTTCCATCTTTCCAAATTGAACCTTCTTTCTTTTCTACTGATCACTCTTTTTTTCCTCTCCTCACATCTGAGCATACCCGGCCTCCAGCCACCCTCTGCCATTTCCTTGTTCATCATGGGCCAGCTCCTCTCTCATTTCACACACACCTAGGTTGACTTCATGATCCCCCTGTCAACACATGTCCTTATCCCCACCTCGAGCTTACGGTGGCCCAGCAGAACTGCAGCCAGCCAGGATTCCATCACCACCTGCTTGTGGCCACAGTTGAGCACATCAGCCTGCACAAGGGCTGTGATATGGTCACCTTTAGACAAACAAGCTCATCAACATGAACAGAGCCACCAACCCTGCAGGACAACCCCACAGGACCATGTAGCCTCACTCACCACACCTGTCGTCTCCCCTCGAGTCTTACAAAAGCTCCCTATTTCTCTCCAAGGCAACCAGCTTCCTAATCGGCCTTGATGACCCTAGCCTCCTGGGCCACACTCTTGTGTGGCCCCTGACATGCCTGAATGAGGGCTGGCTCTGCCGAGGGGGCGACAGGGAGGACTTCTGAGGACAGGTCCTAGAAGGCATTGCAGCTTCTGCCTCAGGCTCCTGTATGCTTGTGTGCTCCAGGGGTCATTGACTGCCATGCTGGGGACGAGCAAGAGGCCCTGCCTGAGGCTTAGGGGGAGAGGAGCTGAGGCCAGCACTGACCTGCCAGCCACAGGGAGGCCTGGAGAATCCTGGAGTGCATGGATCCTGCAGATGGCACAGCCCCAGGTGGAAGTCCCCTGAAACCTCGGACAGTCCCCAGCCAGACCCTTTCAGCCACACTGCTCCTGCATTCCTGATCCACAACACCCCTGAGAGATCTGCCCTACCTCTCTCCCCCTGTTAGACAAGGCATAACCCCCCTGCTCTCTGCAAGCTGCACTCGGCAGCTCTATCCTGGGGTCCATCTCCTGCTTTGTAGGAGCTGTCCACTCTTGATAGTCTCTGGTCATCCTTTCCTTTCAAGTTCTCCCTCTCTCCATTCAGGTCGGGTCTAGGATCCTCAACAGTGAAACACACCTATGCTCCGAGCATGGTTTTCTTTCCGTTACTGCCAGTCTCTTTCCCTCAACCCAGCCAGAGTCACTCACTCCCATCCCACTCGCTTCCTCACATACCACCACCTGGTGTCCACCACTACTACTACCTTAAGGGTGATGCCCCTGGCAGTCACCAATGCACACCACAGTGACAGAAGTGCAGACCACAGCCCCTCACATCAAACCTTCCTGAGGTCTTTGTGCAAGGCCAGCTGACCCGGGAACTGTGACAGAACTGTCCTGCCTCCACAGGTACAGGAGGTCCTATCTCCCCAGCAGGGACCTAAGTTGTGCTCAGGTATAGTTTGGTTACTGAACTGAGGAGGGAGAAAGGGTTGGGATCCAGCCAGCTCACTGGGACCCCAAGAGGAAAGCAGGCAGAGGAGGCACTGAGATCCTTTCAGGCCACAAGCTCCTCTTCTTGAACTCTCCCATTGGGGCAGCAGGAGTTTCTGTTCAGTTGGATTTGGTGACTCTTGCCCTGCCCTGGATATGTTGGTGTTGAAAAAGGGTCACAGAGGATGGGCCATTCTACATCAGTGATGTCCAATAGAACTTTTGGGGATGACAGAAATGTTCTATAATACGGCTCTGTCCAATATGGTGGCCATTAACTAACCAGATGTGGCTACTGAGTTTTAAAATGTTATCTGTGGGACAGAGAAAATGACCTTTTCATTGTGTTTAGCAGGTACCACAGTACAACAGGGCAGCCGTAGACATACTTGGGCCTGACTCCTCTAAGATGCAGGAAGGATCCTGGGAGTGGCAAAACGAGGGTGGGCGTGTGGCCTTGGGTGAGGGGCTGGCTGCAGGTCTGCACAGGTAGAAGTCAGAAGCACACTAGTCCTCGGTGCCATCTGATGAATGCAAATGTGCTTTCAGTGAGAGCAATGAGAGCGAGCACTGGCACTTTCTCTCTGTTCTAAACTCCCCAATTCCATCTTTCTACCTCTTTCTTACTTCATAACCACCACGTAAACTCAGGAACAATCATCTGATTCCCAAACTTCTCCCCAAGAACTCCTATCTTGCCTGAGTCAAGCCTTCATTTGGAGTCCTGAAGTCCCACAGCCTGAGAGCAAATGCACACCATACCACCCTCCAGCTCTCATGTCCTTGGTGTCTTCACACTGGCCTCAGAACAGAGAACAGCCAGACCAGGTCTGCTTCTGCCTTTGGGTTGGGTCTGATGCACACCCATTCTTCTCTGCTGCCTAGGCCTCAGTCATCACTGTCTTCCCCGTTCCCAGAGTGTGCTGGGTCCTCTCCTGCTCAGAGGTTTTCCTTATGCTGTCCCCTCGACATGCAGTGGTCTCTTGAACATACCCTAGGGCCCTCACCCATCTAACCCTGCAACTAGCTAGACTCAAACCCCCCTTTAACTCTCAAGCTAGATACTAGCATTTTCCAAGAGGATTCTCTGTCCCCTCACAGTGAGTCCCATAATACTCAATTTTTTAAATTCATCTTCCCAGTTAGAATGGACACTCCAGGGAGGCAGTACGAGGTCTTTTTTCTCCAGGGTTCGCATGCAACTGGACCAGGGCATGGCTCAAGGAGGTAACCAACTGCTGTTTGCCTAGGATTGTCCTGGTTTGAACACTGAGTGTCCTGTGTCCTGGAAAACCCCTTAGTCTCAAATAAATAGGAACAATCTGACACCTTAAATTGTGTACCCAAATAATGTATATGGTGTGATAAGCATTCCTCAACAATGTTATAAGAAAGCTAGAATGAGAAACACACATATACATAATAAAATCTCACAATTAAAAGAAGATAATTTGAGATTCTCAGCATTATAAAATGGGCCATATTGCTATTTCAGAAGTTTTAAGAAATAAGTTTATTAGGAGGCAAAGTGTTGAGGACCATCTTTTTTTTTTTTTTGAAATGAGGAAATGAGTTTCTTCGCCTTTAGTCTATGAGTTGCTGCTTAATCAATTTCCCAAATTTTAAAAATTTAAATTCCTTTTTTCAATTGTAGATGGACACTATACCTTTATTTTACTTTTTTTTTCTTTAATTTTTAAAGTGGTGCTATAGATAGAACCCAGTGCCTCACAGGTGCAAGTTAAGCACTCTACCACTGAGCTATAGCCCCAGGCCCTTCCCAAATGTTTTAAATCTCAGTGTGTGTGTCTGTGTGTGTGTGTGTGGGGGGGGCAAACATCTGTTCAAAATACATCTGGTTGCTGTTCAACCCAATTTAAAATTTCTGTTACTAAACAAGGATGCTCAAATCATCTTTTCTGCAAATACCCCTGTGTTTTGAAGCTTTGTGGAGGATTTATAGGTTTAGAATGGGAAAGGTCTGAGAAACACTGCTAAGTATCCTGGTAGACTTTAGTGGGAAGCCTAATAACACTAAATAAATAGGAATAAATACACATAAATATTTTTTATATTCATATTTACATAAAATCCTGCATTTTAAAATATTAGGGCATACAGAAATTAATTACATATGCTTAAAGTTACTTACATGGTTGTCTTGTAGGCTTATATGCATTTAACTGTATTTACTTATTTACACATACATATTTTAGAATCCTTCCCCTGAATATAAGCCATCAAATAATTTTTCTTAAGATACTTTCACTCTTAGTCCCTCCTTCTGGGTACAACCTAAGTACAGGAAAAGGTGCACTGGCCATCCTATCTAGGAGCCTGTTCAGCTCCACATTGTACTCACCTGGTCACACTGAGTTCCACAGATCAGTGGATCACTGAGGCTGGTTTCATCATAAACCTGAATTTGAACGACGCTTTTCTTTTCTGAAAAAAAGAAAAAAGGCCCAAGAATTGATTTTGATGCTTTTATAATACGGTTGTTAGATAGGGATAAACCACTCCATTCTCGGTTTTCCCTTCTTCTTTTTTGTACTTATGGGCTTAAGGTGTGATGAGGACCCAGCCTGCTGGCCTGCAGGGATTTACCTTATTCCTATGCACATGTGCTCAAGACGGGAGAAGGCGGCTTCGTGTGTACACTTGGACTTGCTCAACCAATCTGGCTGGAAAGATTTTTATGGTGACTCCAGACGTCACCATAAAATGGGAAACGTACGTGACTCAGCTGAATTTTAAGCAGCTCATCTGGTTCATTCGGGACTTGAGATGCGAGGCCGCACGCAGGGCTCCCCGCCCGGCACACAGCTCTTTGTTGTGGGGGGCTGCACCGAGCTGTGGACGCGGCGTCCCCGGGCCTTCACCGCGAGGGACAGGAACACTGCCCCCAGCCCCGATCTACAACCCAAACGCCTGTAGACTCGCCCCCGGCGCGGACGATGTGGGGGCTCCGCGGGGTGACGCGGGGTCCCACCCGGGGAAACGGCAGCTGGGCGCTGACCCCAAGGAGCAGCCTGAGGCCTCACGCAGAGGCGGGGCTCCCGGGAAGGGCGGAGGGACGCCGAGCCGGCGGTCGGGGGTGCCCGCGGCCCACGCCCCTCCCTGAACTCGCACCCGAGCCCCTCCCGCCGCTCACCGCCTTCGGCCCCTCCCGAGCGCCCAACGCGCCGACTCGCGGAGACGACCGGCCTAGCTCCCCAGCGCGCGACGCGCGGCTCCGCCCACGGCACCGCCCCGCGCTTCCGGTCGTGGGCGGGACGTCCCGCAGTCCACTTCCGGTCTCGGGCTGTCAGCCACAGACAGCTCCTCTAGTTTGGGACTGCGTGGGGCGGGCGAGGATGCTGATCGCGCACCCCCTTCTCGGGCTGAGCTGTTTTAGTTTTCTTAGTGAGCGTGTGCACGGTTGTGCCCTTGGGTGGGTCAACCGCGGGGGCGACATCAGTCCTGGGTGGGAGTCGTAGGGACGAGCAGGGTCGGCTGGCGGGTGCCAGGCAGTGGAAGGCGTCGGGTCCGGGAGGCGGGGCCTGCCTGTGGGTGGAGACCGGTTCCGGGGGCGGGGCAGGGGCGGGGCCCAGTGCTGGGGGCGGGGCGGGGTGGCCCGGACTTGGAGAGTGAGGCAGACTGTGGTGGGTGGAACCTAGGTTTGGGGGCGGGGCTGTGGGCAGAGACCAATTCCAGGAGTGAAATACCGAAGGGCTGGGTTGTAGGATGGGGTTGCCAAAAGTCCCCTGGGGCTAGGGATTTTAGAGACCAGCTCTGCGGATGTTAGAGGTGAGACTTTTCTTGGACTGTAGAGATAGAAGGACGCTTAGAAACAACTTTTCTTCAGTCTGATCTCCATGATCGCACGGCCCAATAGAATCAGGTTTTATATGCACAGTTCCCTATAACTTGCTTTCCCAAGGCAGAAGATAAGGATTTAATACTATCTTAGTTTAAAAACTTCGGAGGCACTGGAGGGCATTAAGTCGTAGATACATGTATAGGAAATCTTCAGTGCTACACATTCAGTAAAATATCCTAAATCCCACCATTGTCTCTCAGTCCTCTTGCCCAGAGGACTTCCAGATAGAGTGTGTACATGTATGTGTATGTATGTATATGTATGTGTATGTATGCTGTAGTAATTTATAGAACAAATTCTTATACCTAGTAAGTCACTGTTTTAGATACTGGAAATATGTATTGCACAAAGCATACAAGATTTCCTAATCTCAGAGAACTTGGATTTTAATGGTGGGCAGGGGGAGTGAACAATGAATATTACAAATAAAACACATGATGTGTTAGATATTGATAAATGCAAAGGAAAAAATGAGGAGTGTAGTCTTGAGTGATCTTCCTTTTGTTTGTTCTCTTTTCTAAGCCCAAAGACTCCAATTGTAGTTTCTCACAGTGAGGCCTCTCCCTTGCCCTGAACAAACTACTGACTGTATTCTAAACACCTCTTTAGTACAATGTTTACCCTGATTCTGGGGACCCCAGGGTGATTGGAGTGTGGTGGCTTTGGGGAGTGGAGCTGGGAAGCCTTAGTAGCTGCAAGCGCAAGAGGCTGCTAACTTTCATAGTGGACAGCTCCTGGTTGTGAGCCAACAGAATCAACAAAGGACCTTATAGCATAAGTTCATATGATGCTTCAGCAAGAAGATAAATGGTCATGGCATATTTTCCTTCTGATTTAAGTTGCATATCATAATGCTTCTCAAGAGAGCACTCACAGGAAGCCACTATTGATTAATGGTGGTTGGCATGAGATTAGACATCTTTGCCATTGCCTCTAAGGTTTCTTGCTGAAGGTTTCTCTTTGTCCTTCAATTAAAGTATGTTGAATAAAGCATGGGGGCTATAAATCATTCACTGGCCTTAGAAATCACACTTTTGGCCTTTTCAGTCTCTCTGGGCTGTATCTGTGCCTTCTATTCTGGTGGTGGTTGTCTCTTTAAGACAACCACCATCTGGAAAACATCATCCCATTTTTTCCTGATCAGACGCATAGTACTTTGTGCTCAACTTACTTCCCCCTTTGACATTCACTTCCTTCTGGCCACCATCTCTGAGATGGCATCACACTTCTGTACGGAGGTTCCATCTCCTTTGGAGATTGTACAGCTTAAATTATTCTTCCTGACACTGATGTGTGTGGCCAAGGGCGTCCTGCTGGCCCTCATGTCATACGACCGGTCCATTGCTGTGTGCCACCCCCTGCAGTACCCTGTGCTCATGAGATGCCAGGTGTGCCTGCTCCTGATGTGCTCAATGCTTGCACACAGACCTCCATCACCCTGCACTTCCCCTACTGTGGCTCCCGCACCGTGGACCACTTCTTCTGTGAGGTGGCAGCCCTGCTGAAGCTCCCCTGTGTGGACACCTCTGCCTATGAGCGGGCGCTGTCCACCTCGGGAGTGCTGATCCTGGTGCTGCCGCTTTCTCTCATTGCCGCCCCCTACGGCTGTTCTGCTCATGCACTCAGAGGAGGCCCTGAAGCAAGGCCTTGGCCACCTGCTCCTCTCACATCACGGTCATGGGACTCTTCTGTGGATCTGAGGTGTTCAGGTACATGGTGCCTGGTGCCCACCACAGCCCTCAGAGGGGCAACATGGAGGTGCGGATGGCTTTGGTCAAAGTGCTCCTCACGCTGGGCTCAGGCCAAAGCTGACCACAGGTGGCTGCTCGTGTGAGTCCATGCCTGACATCATACTCATCTCAAAACAGCTGTTTTTGGGTGCAGCCGCCAAGGCCTTATGTTCAGGCTAAATGTTCAGACAAAAGACTAGTCGGATTCACATTTATGCCCCCTTCATGAAGCTTCCCTCCTCATGAGCCAATTTCTGCACCCCCTAAAGGCCTCACCTCCTAATGCCAAAACATGGCAGGGGGTCAGGATTTCAGCATATGAAAGCTAGAAGGGCATAAACAGTCCACAACAGTTACTATGTAACCACCATTATAACAGATTTATCCACCCCATACACACTCTTATCTTTGTAGCCTAGTATCATTTTTATTAGATGCATATACAACATTTATATTACTACAACTATTTAATTGTATCCTTATTTTAGGCCTCCTATCACAAAGAACCCTGTGCACATTTTTCTGGTTCTTCAAAATAAGGTAGTGCCTCCCACCCACCCACTGGCCCCACTCATCTGCATTTTCCACCCCAGCATTGTATTTTCTCCAAAGACTACTTACGTATGAAACCACCATATCCATTTCCTGCTGCTTCCCTACACAGGAACTGGGGACTCTGCTGTGTGCCTCCAAGTTTGCCTAGAAAATAGTCAGGCATGTGAAAGTGAACAGGTATCTGAAGAAGAAACAAAACAATAAAAACACATTAATGAAAGAAAGACTAGATGAATATGTCAAGTCTCAGAATCCAATAGGGGGAACAGCACCTTAATGTGAACCTCTGGGAAGACCCCAAAATACCAGTCACTTGTATGTCATTCGGGAACTCCATTATTTTTTTTTTTTAAATAAAGGGCTTGGTGTTGAGAGTGCAGGGCACCTGAGTATTATAAAGAGATTATATAGTTTGGAGAAAAAAAGAGTCCTTATGTAGAAATCGAGAACCATCTTGGGGCGGTGAGATCAAATCTATGTTACATACCTGGTATGTTAAGCCACAGGGAATGTACAGAAATTGGGGTGGGAGGGATAGCCCTGAAATAAGGTGGAATAGATGTTACAGGTGTTTCTGATGAGTTTCCAGGTGACCCAGTGCTGGGAGAGAACTCTTACGTGCACCTGACAGCGCGTTTTCCAAGTGTGGCTAGGTTCAGTTGAGTAGGGATGAGACGGTCTGAGGAGCGTGAGCCATGGAGTTATAAGAACGTTTTATTTCGGCTCCAGGCAGTCCTTCCCTTTCTCGGAGCATTTGCAGCATCATAGATTTCCCAAAGTGATGGATGACTATGGGACACACCCAAGAAGGAGCAGGGGCCCATAGTTTATGAACAGAGCATGTTTCTTGGTAATAGAGTGTCATGGCTTGAATGTGCTTTGTCCCCTCTGGAACTCCTGTTGGAGTTTTGTCCCCCATGGTGAGCTACAAAGAGGATGGAAACTTCGGCTGACTATGGTGTTCAGAGATGGGACCATTAGGGGAGGATTGAGATTAGATAAGGTCCTCAGGGTACAGCCCCCGTGGCCGAATTCTGATGGCTTTATAGGAAGGGGGAGAGAGCAGGAGGCACAGACAGGTGCACACTCCCTGTCTCTCACCAGTTGATGGCCTGTGCTGCCTCAGAACCCTGACACAAGAAGGCCATCACGAGATCCAGCCCTCGATTTGGTTCCTCCAGAGTCCTGAGCCCAAACAAACCCCCTCTTCTTTGAAACATATCCAGTCTGTGGCCTTGAGCTGTTTAGCAACAGAAAAAGGACTAATGCATACAGTGTGCGCACACTAAGAAATCGGTCAATCTAGATACGGAGTGACGGTGCCTGAGGTCAACCATCTCTGAGACATCTTCAGGTCCTGGCAGGAGGCTTGGGATGGTTTCCAGTCTAAGCCTAGAGCCCTGGACTCAGTGAGGCAGGCAGAGGTCCAAGGAAAGAGCTAGATAAAGGGCCAGATTCAGATCCTGGAGGTCCACACTGATGTCGGACCCCTGCGTGCGCCTCTCTGGGAGAGACATGAGTGGCAGGCGAAAGTTTGGGACAACAGTTTGGAGCTGTTGGATGGGGAAGGTTGTTAGGCCAGAGGACTGATACCAGGAAAGGTTTTTTTTTTGGGGGGGGTGTCCTATCATGGTCTGGTGAAGTTGGGGAACTGCCACAGAAATCTATAGTTTATACTTTCTGCTTATAGCAATTTTGATTTGTCAGCTTAATTTGATCCGATAAACCTGTTCTGTGTTTAGATTTTTATAAGATTCACAATTATAAAAACAAGATCCACATAGTCAAGTTGTTCCAATCAAAGGTAGAAGTTTTCCACCTAAAGACTGTGTCAGGTGAATAATGAAAAGTTCCTTTTGGATCTAATGACAAAGGGTCATTGTGACCTTATCAAGGGGAGCAGCCATGGAATGATGAAGGTGAGTAGAAGTTGGGAGCGGCCGAGGAGGGAGGTAGGAGGTTGGAGAAAGGGGATAAGGAGCTGATCTTTTCTCAGTGGGTCATGCCAAAGGCAAGGGGCAGAAAGTGGTTGAAGAGATGCCGGGAGGGCTGGCCATGGGGTCTCTGTGTGGTTCAGAGGAATTTAGACATATTTAAATGCTGAAGGTGGGAGTCACCAGAGAAAGAGACGTTGAGGACCCAGGGCTACGTTGGAATATTGCAGGACATGAAGTTCCTAGGAAGGAGGCTCAGGTCTCTACCAGAGGATAAAGGAAATACCTTTATAATCAGAGAAAATGTAGAAACAATAGAACCTAATCAGAGATATTTGCAGATTTGGCTACTAGACCCCTAAAATGTCCATCTGATATTTTACAATTTTCCTGTGAGATATCAGAGAAATTTTAAGGGCACTTGAGTGTATGTTTAAAAAAAAAAGTGGGGAAATTTTATAACAGGATTTTTGGAAACTCAAAAGAGTTAATATGCCAACATATAGAAAGAAAATAAAAAACCCCAGCATTATGTATTCTTTCCAGTCGACGCTGAATATTTTGTACTCATAGTGCTACCAAAATATCATGTTGTGTGCTTTTTCTTCAGCAGTTATCCTAAGATCAGTGGTAGCTGTGGCGTGAAGATAATTACAGTCCTCTAGGTCTGAAATTTTGCAAGGCAGGTAAGATGGACGGTAAGGAATTCTGAATTATTCCGAGGGAATTGTGGAGATCACAGACCACGGAGACCAAGATGGAAAGGAGTAAGGGGAAGGGAAGGGGGTAATAGGTACCAAAATATGCAGAAACAATAAGTTCTAATGTTCCGTAGCACACCAGGGTGACAATAGCTCTTAATAATTTATTACATATTTTATAAAGAACCAGAAGAGACAAGTTTGAGATTTCCTAATACAAAGAAAGGATAACAGTTGAAGGAGGAGGACATGCTAATTATCCTGTTTGATCATTATATAATGAATTCTTGTATCAAATAATCCCCTTTGCTGCACACATGTGTACTATCTGCATATATCGAATCCAAAAGCGGGGGGGTGAGGGAGGGAGAGAGGGAGAGAGGTGAAGATGTCATCTGGAGTAAGTTTTATTTTTGAGTGATTCTTATCTATCGTGTGGACATTTGAATGAAAAAGCTAGAAATCAGAAACTTGGGGTGAGCAAATAGTTTTTATAAATTATTTAGGAGTGAGTCTCTAAGGGTAGAATAGATGATAATTTCACTGTGGACTTGGGTGGTACAGGAGGTACGACAGCCAGTGGTCACTGGGCTAGCCAGATGAATGGCCAACACAGAAGAACAGCAGAATTTGGGATTGAGGAAAAGACTGGGCACCCTGTGTCATGAGAGGGAGAATTGAGTTTCATGGAATTGAGACTGACAAGGATTCTCAAGCAGGAGCGGGTTTTGCAAGATGGCAGAGAGTTTTGACTTGGGACTCTCTGTGTTTAGCTCCAATCTGCTTGACGATGACCCAGGATGCAGGTCAGACTCACCCCAGAGGAAGAGGAGGGATGGGAGTTCCAAAGAGCCGAGTTAACTGTCATAGGGATAGTAGAGGAAGGCAGACTCGGCTGATCATTTTGATCCAGTCTCACAATTTATGTTTACAGGGTAAGAGGAAAAGAAGTAAAATGGTCAAGACTTCACAGAGGAAGCAGCGTGACTGTGTGAACCAGCCCAAACCAAAGCCTGGCTTCAGCATCTCCATCCCCTTGAGGATGTCCAGTTACACGTTCAAGAGACCAGTGACGAGAATCAGATCGCACCCAGGCAATGAGGTTAGATACCATCAATGGGAGGAGAACTTGGACAAGCCCCAGCAGGTCTGTTGGCAGAGGAGGCTGCAAGGACTCCAGGCGTACAGCAGTGTCGGGGAGCTCTTCAGCACTTTAGATCTCACTAAAACTTTGCAAAAACTTGCACCTGCTTGCATAGGTGCAGCCCTACCGGGGGCTCTGGCTGGTGGTCTGCACCCCAGCTCGGGGCCTGCCCTTGTCCCTTCTTCACACTTTGTGGAGTCAATTCCCGGAGCCAGTCTGGGCAGCCCCCAGCTCCTCTGCAAACAGTTCCTGGTGACTGAGGAAGATATTAGGAAACAGGAAAGGAAGGTGAAGACGGCTAGAGAGAGACTGGCAATAGCCATGATCGCAGACAGACTAGCCAGTGAGGCAGAGAAAGCTCGGGGGCCCAGACGGGCGTCCTTGTGAACACAGGAGAAGACACTGCCGATGGATGAAACGGGGCGTGGCCCTTTATTCACATCGATTTGTAGGGACCATGTGTGTATATACATAAATATATATATATAGTTTGAATTGAGCTCCTGACACCTTAAAACACACCAATGCCTTTCCTTATTAAACTCCTTTGTGTAACACAAGAAAACATAACAGTGATTTCTTTTTGAGGTGAGAGATTGGGTTTCAAGTGAGGAGAGAAAGGAATTTTTTTCATGTAGACTCCTGTTTTCATGAGCTCTTTACACGCTTTATTTGTATGTGTGTGTGTACTTTTTTTTTTTTTTGGTACTGGGTATTGAACCTAGAGTCATTTTTACCCCTGAACCACATCCCCAGCCTCGTTCTTAAATAATTCTTTTGGGACCAAGTCTCCCTAAGTTGCTTAGGGCCTCACCTCACTAAATTGCTGAAGCTGGCTTTGAACTTGTGATCCTCTTGCCTCAGCCTCCAGAGCCACTGGGATTACAGAGGTGTGCTGTAATTTACTTTTTAAAGTATTTATATATTTAAGGCATATGACATGGTGTTTTGATACGGTGAAATGACTACTTTCGCCAAGCAAATTAATATATCAATTCATAGATTTTTTTTGTTTGTAGGTAGTAAATAAAATATACCTTCTTAGCGAACTCCCACACTGTAGAATATGTTATTGACAATAGTCTTCAGTGTGCACCCTCATTTTCTGGACTTATTCGTCCTGTGTAACTGGATTTACTTGTACCCTTTAAGCTGCATCTCTCCATCCACTCTCGCCGCTAGTAACCTCCATTCTACTCTATGTTTGGGCGTTTTAGACACAGAGATTAAAGATTCCACATATATGTGCTGTCACACAGTGTTTTTTTTTTTCTCTGCATTGGGCTTATTTCACTTAAAGTCAGTGGGGAGTTACCAACGTCCTGGAATCACGAGTATTTGTATCATCCTCATGGTCACAGGATGAAACCTACTTCATCACAATGAATTACTATTTTTGGGTAATAGTTAGTTGATTCAAAAATAGTATTTCCTAAAAGGACTTTCTTGTCCATTTTCCCAAATAAAGTATGTGCCTATAGTTACTCTCCTGTTTTTGATTGCCTGTCAACCCAGTGTTGCACAAAGAATGAAACAGCAGACATTCCTTCATTTTCTTGATCCATTGTGTGTTTGAGATTTATTTTACTCCATGAAAACCAACATGCAGCCGGGCCAGGTGGCGTACACCTGTAATCTCAGCGACTTGGGAGGCTGAGGCAGGAGGTGCCAAGTAACTCAGTGAGACTCTGTCTCTAAATAAAATATAAAATAGGGCTGTGGCTCAGTGGTGGAGTGCTGAAGTTCAATTCCTGGTACCCCGTGCCACCACCAAAAAAAAAAAAAAAAAAGGAAACCAACATGCTGTTTTGGTGAATAATGATGAAGAGACACTTTTCAGCATTATTAATCTCATAAACCTCTGCTTAATGTAATTCAAGAGTTTATTTTCCTCATCAAGCTTGCTGTATTATTCAGATCCTCTTTATCATTACTTTTGTTTGATGGATTTGTCAGTTTCTGAGAGTGACATACTAAAACTTCATAACATGGGCTGGGGTGGTGGCTCACACTTGCCCAGCATGTGTGAGGCACGGGGTTTGATTCTTAGCACCACATATAAATAAAGGTCCATTGACAACTAAAAAAAAAAACACATATGCCATATTTATAACATCCCTAAAATATTTGAAATTTTATCTTCAATCCTCTATGATTTCATTTGGTTCTCATCTAGAATTTTAGTTAGGTTGTGTTTTTGTTTGGTTTTTGGTACAAGGGTTGAACTCAGGGGCACTTAACCACTGAGCCACATCCCAACCCTTTACAAATTTTTGTTTGAGACAGGATCTTGCTAAGCTGCTTAGACTGGTGCTAAATTGCTGAGGCTGGCTTTGAACTTGTGATCCTGCCTCAGCCTCCTGCGTCACTGGGATTACAGGCACGTGCCACTGGGCCTGGCTAGGTTGTATTTTAATGACTTGTTTTAAAACTAATTCAGATACGCTCTTCTTCTTTTCCTCATCACTCCTGTTCTCTTCCTTCCAATGTGTTTTCTGGGTTCCCATTTGTCCTTCCTAAAGTGTATTCTCCCTGGTTCTCTTACAGGAGCTGAGGGAGGCTGCTGGGTTGGTCTGTATGCCTGGAAGTGTCCTCTATCTCCTTGCCCCAGGTAGTTGGGCTTAGGTACAAGGGATTCTTTTTTGTCCAATCATAGTATGTTTCCGAGCCTCTATCCTTTTGACCTTAAGATGGAAATAAAACCCTCAAGGGAGGTGGCTTGGTTGATTTTGTGTTGCCATAACAGAATTTCACAGATGGCACAACTTATACAGAACAGAAATTTATTCTCAGAGTTTTGGAGGTGGGGAATTCCGAGATCAAGGTGCTAGCATCTGCCGAGGGCCTTGTAGCTTTGTTCTTGATAATGGACGGTGCAAGGGCGAAAGAGACCAATGCTAAGTCCTCGCCGTGCAGAAGAGCAGGGAAGAGAGAGTGCCCACTCCCATAGCCCTCATCTGTAGTGGCATTATGCCAACTCACGGGGCCAGAGCCCTTGGGACCTGAGCACACCTTGCTAGGTCCCCCTCACTGTAGGCTGTCGCCTTGGGGATTAAGTTTCCAATATTGAGATTTTGGGGGAGCTACATTCAAAGAGGGACATAGCAGAGGGACAGCATTGATGGATCTGGTGCCTGCAGAGCTTGCCAAGTCGCGATGACCCTTTTCGCAGAGCGCACAGAAGATCAAAGGACCTTGGGTCTCTTGGCGTGTATCCCTGTGGTGGATGGAGGTGTGACAGTAGTTGATGAGTGGCGGTCATCAGCGTCATTACTGTGATCTTCAGAGGGTGCATTCTTAGAGGCAAGCCTGCGCCAGATGTGAGGCTCGCTCCAAAACGGCTCGAAGGTGGGGGGGGGGGGGCTGGCAGGATGGTCGGTTTAATTCCCAGCCCCTGGATATTATCGCTTGTGCTGGGCTGAAAAAGGTGTGGAGATCACGCAACGTATTCCAGCAAATCCAGGCAGGACGGTACAGCGGGCCTCACACCCGGGACACTTGGTTCCACTCGTCTGCAGAAAAAGATAGGGACAGATCTGTTTAGATATACCCCCCACGTTTTACTGTTCTCTATGTCCAACACAGACACGGTCCTTAGAGAGCCTCGCCCTCACTCAGGGACTCAGGCCTCCTGGACAATTGGTCATTTCAGCCCTTCGATCCCAAGGCTGGCTGTGCGGCCACCTCTGACCCACGTATCCCTTTTCGGTCTCTTTGCTATCTTGGAGGACCCATGAGGTGGGCCAGGAAGCCTCACCCAGAAGTCCTGCCGCAGTGGAGCTTAGAGAACCAAGAAGTGTAAGAGAAGCTGGGGTGGCCAGAGCCCCGGTGGGGGGCAAGAGGGAGAAGCAGACTCAGCTACGGTGGCCAGCACCTAGCCAAGGGCAGGCCTGCGGAGGGTCACTGGGAAGGGAACGTGCCCACTGAAGGGGCACACTGATGTATGAGGGGGCAGTTTCTACCCTGGCTTTGCCCCAAGGGGTGACGTGGTGTGAAACCAGAAGACACAGCCGGTAGCTGCCTTTGGGATATGGCCAGGGAGCAAGACTTTGCATTTCCTTCCCGGGGGACCAGAGGTGGTGTGTGACGGGTGTGGTTCATTTCTGCCCCTGCCAGGCTTCTCAGGACCCTGGCCCAGGAAAAGCAGCCCCTCACAGGTGGAATCACTGCAGCTTCCTCTGGTCCAGGTGTGGCACGTAGTAGCCCAGGGGTCGGTGATGCACCTCATAATTCCCCTCCTTCTTCCGCCGGCGCATGGTTACCTGGGAGGGTGAGGGGAGGGCATCAATGGATGGTCAGCTGCCCACGTCGGGGAGACCCCAGGGTGAGGATATGGCCCAGGACACAGACCTGAGGCTCCCACGTCCCCTCTCCCTCCCTTTCCCTCTTTCCCTTCTCTCTCTCTTTTTACTCTCAATTTTAAAATATGTCTCTGTTATCTCCATTTCTTCCTCTCCCTCCCCCTCGACTTCTTTATTAATTATCTATTATCTATCTGCCTATCATCCATCTGTAATCATCCATTAATTGTCTATCATCTATCAACCATACATGCGTCTGTCTATATATTATCTATCAATCCTCTGTGACTTCTCTAGCAATCATCATTCATCAGTCATCTATTTGTCATTTATAATAATCTCTAAATCTATCAGCCATCATCTATCTTTATCATCCATCAGTCACCTATCAACCATTTATGTACCCGGCATCTATTAATTGTGTCGTCTGTCAATCATCTATCATCATCAGCCATCTGTAATCACCCCTGTATCTATCTGCCTATCAACTACCTATCAACCACTTATCTCTCAGTCTCTTTTGGTCTTGGTAACTTTCTCTCTCCCTCTTCCCCTCTCTCTCTTTCCTGCCCCCACACCCCTCCAGCTTCACTGAGACAAAATTCAACACATGGTAAACTGCACGCCTTCAGGGTGAAGGGTTTGCTGTGTTCTGGATATGACATCACACATCGCCTCCAAAATTATCCTCCTGTGCCCTTAAAATTCCTCTTCCCCTGCTACTCGAAAATACATTTCCACTCCCAGGCAGCCACGGGTATGATTTTTGTCCCTGTGGATCAGTTTGTATTTTCTAGAATTTGTTTATAAATGGAATCATACAATCTGTACTCATTTCCTTTGGCTTATTTTCACTCAACGCATCTTTGTCATTTATACATGTTGCATGTATTCAAACTTGATTCCTTTTTATTGCCGAATACTCTCCCACTGTCTGAATATGCCTGTTGATGGACACTGGGGTTGTCTGCAGTTTTAGGTTAGTATGAATGGAGCTTCTGGGAACCTTGGTGCACAAGTCGTGTATGGATATTTAAAATTTTCTCTTGGAGAAATTACTAGGAGTTGGCTGGTTGACCACATGGCAAGCATGTGACTTTCAAACACACGACCAAGTTCTGTTCCACTGGCTCTGCGTAAGGATTCCAGTGGCTTCACGTCTTCACCAAGAGTTGCTATCATCAGTCTTTTTAATTTTAGTCTTTCTCACGCCTGGTGGTGTCTCACTGTGACTTCCATGTACATTTCTCCAGTGGTTAATGTTAGGTTTTGACTTATTGTGCAACATGGTGACTACAGGTAATAATAATGCAGTGTGTATTCCAAAATTGCCGAGAGTAGATTTCAAATGTTCCCATCACAAAAATAATGACAATGGGTCTGTTAATGAGCTTGGTCTCACCATTTCATTGTGGATATCCAAGTATCGCATCATATACCGTAAGTGGATTCATTTGTTATTTGCCAGTTAAAATTTAAATTTAAAAAAGGCAAGCTACAAAATCACCAGGGAAAGATACATGCAAAACATATCTCCAGCAAAGGCCTTGTGTTTATAGTCAGCAGCCATGCATCACTTAAGGATGGGCTGCCTCTGAAGAATGCACCTCAGTCACCTTTGTCATTGTGCAAGCACCACAGAGTACACTGCACCAGCCAAGGTGGCTGTGGCATCCCCGGGTGAGATGATCTCTTGGGGCCGAGGTCATGCATGCAGCCCGTCACGGACCAAAACGTCATTATGTGGTGCGTGACCGCGTTACAAATTCTTACAACCCAATCATAGGAAGACAAGCAACTCTCCCTCGCTCACCAGGTAACAGCAGATCAGGCACGTGATGAGTCCCAGGAGTCCCGCCAGGCAGATGAGGATGATGGCCCAGAAGGGAAGGGCTGGGGAGACAGGTGTTGGGGTGAGCCACTCCTGCCACCTCCTGGGGCTCCCTTTGACCCCATGTGGCCTGAGGATGGGCATGGACTTGGGGAGGGGTGGAGCTTAGCAGCTCAACACCTAATGGCTCTGAAGCTCCCTGCAAGCTCCCGCATGCAGCTCCCGCCCCAGGAGGCCAGGACACCTGAGGCCTTCCACTGTGCCTCAGGGGCCCTTGCCATGGGATGACGTGAGGATGTCCCCTCCCTGCCTGGGCAGGGGCTACTTTGAAGCTTACCAGAAGTTCTAGTCATAACATCATTTATGATGGGAGAATATCCTAGAAATGAAGGAAATGGAGAGTGCAGGTGAGTATACGTCACTTTTTTTGGGGGGGGTGGGTACTGGTGATTGAACTCAGTGGCACTTCACCACTGAGCCACCTCCCCAGCCCTGTTTTGTATTTTCTAAAGAGACAGGGTCTCACTGAGTTGCTTAGTGCCTCTCTGTTGCTGAGGCTGGCTTTGAACTTAGGATCCTCCTGACTCAGCCTCCCCAGCTGCTGGGATCACAGGTGTGTGCCACTGTGACAGCTGATGGACCCGTTGATGGGCCTGTTCCGCCCTGGGAGGGAACCCAGGACCTTGCCCTCTTCCCCCAAGCTCCACCCCCAGCTCTAGCTAATCCTTCCAGAACTGGGTCGAGTGTTGGTTGTGTGCTAGGAGGAACACAGGGTTCTTGGAATGCTAGAGTGAACAAGTGAAGTCGCTCTAATCCTGACGTTGCCAGTGTTCACTGCCACACACACAACCATCGTTCAGATGAGTACATTGGTACGCGCAAGAGTTAGCCATGTGGGAGGCACTTCTGGGTCTGAAAAGGATCCATCCGATCATGTTTTCTGAGACTGGATCACACACAGTGTGGAGCTGACTACCTTACTAAGTGGCCTGCAGGGCAGAGATAGGGAGGAGTCCAGAGAGAAGTGTCTTGTCTGAAGTCTGAGGTCACAGAGCTTTCTGGGAGAGGGCGAAACCCTCCCTCTTTCCCTCTGGGTGTCTTTTCTCTCTCCCTCAACGGTGGGTGAAGCCTGGAGGGACTACGCCACCTCTTACTCATCTGGGATGCTCCAGTGCTGTTCCACCCCAAGGCCTTGAGATTCCAAAGAATCCCCAGGGGTAGAGGTTGGAGCCCCTGTCCCAGCTCCAAGGACCCGGGAGACTTACCATCCACAAGGACACTGTTCCTGTCCAGGGTGAAGTTCAGCAGCCGGGTGCCATTCTGGGTCAGCCGCAGGAATTCCTCATAGATGGCCATTCTGTCCACTCTCCGGGTCAACGGTGAGTAGTGACACAGGGAGTCCACCCCAGTGTGGTTGCTATGGGGGACAGACCTGGAGGGGCACAAAGGATGGACAAGGGTATCTGGGATTCTGCCCTGGATCAGATTTCCTGATGTGAGCCCGTTGCGGGGAGCTGTGTGCCTCCATGTAAACATTCTTCGAAGGCTGCACCCGAGACAGTCCTTCTGAGCCCCATGTTCTTACAGAGCTCTTAAAACGTGGCTAGGCCAAGTGAGTGAGGAACGGAACGTGTAATTAAATTAAATCTAATTAATGCAAAAATAACTAGCTTCAGGGAAAACATTTCTGAAATGTTGGAGTAAGGTCTTGGGGAAAAAAAAAACTCCATCAAACAGTGAGCACACTACAAACAGTTGTCAAAATCAATTTTTTTTTCAGAAATTCAGGAATTCCCCCAAGGCTTGCAATATTCCAAGGAGTGTTCAGTAAAGAGAGCAAGCTTTGTGGCGTTTCAACTTCCTTATTCCCACGCTGTTCTCCCAGAATCTTCCGTAATTTTGAAAACCAACGGTAGAACCCCCGGCAGCTATAAAAAGCAGCCACTAGCCGCCCCAGTGTGATCCCCAAACACCCATCTCCCACAGGACTGTCACTCTCTGACCTGTCCGGCATCTCTTTGCAAAAGCCCTGTTCTCAGGGAGCGCCTCATTTGATCTGACTCAGAACTTGCTCAGTGCCAGGAAGGGCAACCCAGGACACTGTCAAAAACAATCAGCAGCAAGGCACCAGAAGCAGACTTTGGAGAAACAGCAACCTCTTGAACAAGAGTGCTGGGAAGACTGGGTCTCCACGGGTGGAAGATGGAAACTCCATCCTCAGCCCTCGTTCTGTGCAAAAATCAACTCAAAATGAATCCCAGGCCTTACTGCAAGGCCTGGCACTGTGGAATTATGAGAGGAAAATAAAGACTTCGGCGCAGGGAGCGATTTCCTGAACAGGACTCTAATTGCACAGGAAACAAAAGCAAGAACGGACCAATTGGATGACATCAAATGAAAAGGCTTCTGCCCAGCAAAGGAAACAATCAACAAAGAGAGCCTACAGGATGGGGAAATCCTCGCTGGCTCTTCATCCGACAGAGCACTCACATCTAGAATACACAGTCAGCTCAAGGCACAGAACACCAAAGAATAAGTGATCCAACCCAAAAGGGGCCAATGAAGTGATCTGAACAGACACCTCTTAAAAGCAGAGTTATAAATGGCCAATCGTATATAAAAAATGCTCGGAAATGCCAATCAAAACTACCTTAAGACTCTGCCTCGCCCCTGTCGGAATGGCTATTCACAACACATGAAGCAAAAGAAAACAGTAACAAGCACCAGGGAGAATGCAGAGAGAAAGGATCGCAGACACTGTTGGTGGGAACGTAAATCACTGTAGCACGATGGAGGTGAAAACTAAAAGCAGAACGATCACAGGAGCAGCTATCCCACTCCTGGGTGCATCCCGGAAGAAAATCAAGTGAGCACACAGAAGAGACACCTGCATACCTATCTTTACTGTGGCTGTTCATAGTAGCTAAGCTTTGGAACCAGCCCAAGGTGTCCATCAATGGATGAAGTAAACGTGGTGTACATACACAATGGAGTACTATTCAGCCATAAAGAAGAATGAAATTATGTCATTTGCAGGAAAATGGATGGAGCTGGAGGTCATCATGTTAGGTGAAGTAAACCAGACCCAGAAAGACAAGGATCACATGTTGTGTCTCATATGAGGGAACTTAAAAAAAAAGATGATCTGAAAGAAAAAGAATTGTCATGGATGGGGAAGGGAAAGAGGGAGGGGGAAGAGAGAGGAGGGAAAGAGAGAGTAGCTGGGAGTGAATATGATTAAAATCTGAGATAGACACATGGGGGAATGTCTGTGAAACCCATTAATATGCACTATTAATATTATTTAATATTCATTTAAACATCAATTGACATTAATTATTCAATGCCACAGCTACCTGCAGCAGCCCACGGTTGAACAGAAAACCTAAGAGGAAAATTGGGGGAATACTTTACAGGAGGATTTGGTGGATCTGGGATGTGTTCTGAGGATCTAGAAGCCACCACTGTGCAGGGCCTATAATCCCAGAGGCTCAGGAGGCTGAGGCAGGAGGATCATGGGTTCAAAGCCAGCCTCAGCAACTTAGTAAGGCCCTAAGCAACTCAGTGAGACCCTGTCTCAAAATAAAACACATGTAAAAAATAAAAAGGGCTGGGAATGTGGCTCAGTGGTTAAGTCCCTCTGGGTTCAGTCCTTTGTACCAAAAAAAAAAAAAAGAAAGAAAAGGCCCAAGACCCATGATAAGGAATCTCTCAGGGTCTACAGCACCCACTTGGTCCTGCTTCTCTGATAATAATTTTTTTTGGGTACTGGGGATTGAACTCAGAGATATTCGACCCCTGAGCCACATCCCCAGCCCTATTTTGTGTTTTATTTAGAGACAGGGTCTCACTGAGTTGCTTAGTGCCTCACTGCTGCTGAAGCTGGCTTTGAACTCGCGATTCTCCTGCCTCAGTGTCCTGAACTATCTCAAGACTCTTGAGATCTGGAAAGCTCTTCCTTTTAATATGATGGAGGAAGGCAGCGTTGGGACCTATGTGGTTCTTGCAAAAGTTTCCCTCATCCTTGGAGAACACAGGCTGCCAATCAACTCATTAAAAAGTCTCCAAGTCAAATAGAAGCTAACTAGTTTGAACATTGTTACTCTTGATCCATCAGTAAATTTACTCCAGAAGGTGATTTCTCTTCTTCTTGTTCTTGTGTTCTTTTTGTGATCCCAGGGATTGAACACAGGGCCTCACGCATGCTCACCTGAATGCTAAAACTTGACAGTCAGAAAAGTAACCCTTGATGCTGCTGTTCCGGAAAAGCTGGTTGAGCTGCAAGAGAGGGCGATGTTTCTTAGGTCAGAATCCCAGACTCAGTTGTAAAAGAGAATTAACAGCCTCCGAGCATCTTTTCCCATCTATTTTTTTCTTGGATGAAAACTAACCCAGATGTAAAAAGATGTCCTGTTCTGGGGGTACGGCATAGCTGTGTGATTCTGGGATAGCTACTGAACCTCTCTCTGTGCCTGTTTCTTAGTTTGAACCACGGGAATGAGAACTGTTACAAAAAGTCCCCCTTTGGCTACTACAGGCCGGTCTCTGCCTGGGGACAGTCCGAGTGGACACAACGTAAGGCTCTCTCACCGCATTCTCCAGGCTTCTTTTGTTCCGCTGGTGTCTGGCTGTGCCCGGCTGAGCCATGTCCTGGGTATAGAACAGGTTGGTGACGGTGAAGTTGAGCTGGAAGTTCTGGGAGCTGGAACTTCTGGTGGGCACTTCTGTTGGTAGAGGAGTGGACGGCTTCGCTTCTAGAACAGACAAAGAAAAAAAAGTCCTGTGTCGGAAGGGTTTTAAGAAAGGGGTCATTTCAGCTAGACTCGTTCTTCCTGGCCACGAGACCTGGGCTGGGTTTTTAAAGGTGGGCACAGAGGCCCCTTACTGACCTGTCCACCTGTACCCATTCAGCCCTCTACCTGTTCACGTCTCAACAGGCGACGTAGGAGTTCCCTGTGATGGGGGAGGGCGAAGGGCTCTGTGGGGAGTGGTGGGCAGGTGCAGGTGGGGACCGCCCATCTGTCACATACCTTCCCTGGAGATTCCCATGGAGGCCCTGCATTCCCAGGGGCTCTTCCTGCCTCTGGTCTTCCTCCCAACCCATTCTGCACCCCTTGTTTGTTGAATCAATAAATGTGAACTGCAGTAGATTCCCAAATTTGGCGACGTGTGTGTATGTGTGTGTGTGTGTGTGTACGCGCGTGTGCTCGCTGAGACATTTGTTTTTCATTGTACACTCATTTGCTCTGTGCTATGATGCACCAACACATTAAACGGAGGATACAGTGGCATATCCAGTGGATCTCAGTTGGCAGAGCTCGCAGACAAGGGGGGAGTTAAGTCATCAGCTGCGTAATCACAGTACATCGTGGCACGTGAGGGTAGTGCCTTCTGGGAACCCTGGGACCAGAGCCAACAGGGGTTTTCACCCTGGAGCTACTGGCATTTGGAGCTGCGTGGTGGGATCTCCTGTGCCCTGGAGGGTGGTTGGCAGTAGTAGTCTTCCCCACCGGTGACGACCCCAAACGTCTCCTGGTAGGCACAAGTGCTGCCAAGCTGAGAATCACGGACCCAAAGGAGCCTCATCCAGAAAACTCTTTGATTCCACCCTGGCTCAGACTTTGGGTTTGTCATGAAAGCCATCAAGGAGGAGCAGGAAGGACATTTTGCTAAGTGAAATCAATCCGACAAAGAGACAAAAATACGGTATGCCCTCACTTAAACGTGGAATCTGAAAAAGTTGAAATCATTGGAGCCAAGAGAAGGGCGGTGGTTACTGAGGCTGCCAGGGGCCTCTGGCAGGAAAGGCAGAAGGTTTAGCCTGTGCAGGGCTCTGGGTCTGATCCCCAGCACCGCAATGGAAAGATGAAAAGGAGAGAAGAAAAAGGAAGAGAAGGAGGAGGAGAAGGGGAGGAGGAGGAGGAAGAGGCAATTAGACAACTCCAGTACCTCGTAGCTTTCAAATACTGCATGGGAAGGAAGAAGACAGAGGAGGAAGAGGAGGAAGGAAAGGAGGAGGAGGAAAGGGAGGAAAGGAGGAAGAGGAAAGGGAGGAAAGGAGGAGGAGGAAAGGGAGGAGGAGGAGGAGGAAGGGGAGGAGGAGGAGGAGGAGGGACGAAGTGTCTCAACTGAGATGTCCATCAACTGATGAACAGATAAAGAAGACATGGTATGTACACTGGCATGCTACTGAGTCATTTGTGACAATCCTGTTATTTGTGACAACATGGAGAGAACTGGAGATCTCAATTGGAGAATTGGATAAGCAACAGAAGCCAGGCACAGAAAGACAAGGACTGCAAGATTTCACTCCTACGTGGAATCTAAAGAAGCTGATCTCATAGAAGTCAAGAGTGGACCATTGACTCGGGAGGCTGAGGCAGGAGGATCACAGGTTCAAAGCCAGCCTCAGCAACTTAGTGAGCCCCTGTCTCAAAATAAAAAAAAAAAATAAATAAAAAGGGCTGGGGGTATGGCTCAGTGGTTAAGAAACCTGAGTTCAGTCCCTGATACTGGGAGAAAAAAAAAAGTCGTCTGGTGGTCACCAGATGCTGGGGATGGATGGTGGGGTGGTCAGTGGGTGCTGAGGAGCAGGGAGTCTTGCGCACTACTCCAACGCAATGGGTGGAACCAGCACCCGGACACCCTGGCTTCTTAATTTTCATGGGACTGTGGAGGTGGGGGACTGGGATCTGGTCTTGGGGAGGAAAAGGGACCCTCAGATACCTGTGGTGGTTTCTGGCTGCGCCGATGTCGTGGGCGAAGGCAGGAATGTGGTAGCTAACTCAGGAGCTGCAGAAAGAGTCACCATCAGGGAAGCACCGAGCCCCCAGGTCTGGGAGAAGCCCTCCACGCCCCCTGGGCTGCACTGGGGGCCACGCTAGAACCACCGATCCCAGGTGAACCATGGACCAGAGTGAGCGGAAAGAGCATGCGCACAGCGGGTGGGGGGCAAGCCTGCGAAGGAAAGGAACCCTAGAGGGAGCGTGGGTGACGGGAGAGGCGGACAAAGAGGACCCTGGGATGCACGGGCAGAGAGAAAGGACGGAGAGGAAGGAGGGATGAATGTAGGGTCAGAAGAGAAGGCAAGGAGGAGCGCGTGGAGGACCTGGTGGAGAATGGACGGCTCGGCAGGCGGCCGCGTTGACCACTAGATGGCAGCACGCGCAATGTTAGCTAAAGCCACCGGGAGCCGGCAGAGTTTGCAGCTTGACACCACGAAGCCCCCTGCTGGGCACCCCGTGGTCTTTCAGGCATAAATTACACGGTCACCGTGTGACCTCCATCCCTAGGTTCAGAGGATGCTTGTTCAAACTTCTCCCTTAACTCAGACGAATGTGGAGAATTCGGAATCCAACGCCACGTTACAGGTGCGAGAAGAGGCCAGGGATTTAGCATCCCCACCCCCACCCCCCACTGAGACCCTGGCCCCTCCCAGGAGACCCGCCTGAGTTTGGGGAGGAAGGAGAGAAGCTGAAAAGAGCTCTGGATGCCAGGACACGTACTTGGAGGAGGCTCATCCGGACCACGCTCATTGTAACCTGGAAAAGATGTCACAGGTGAGGAGAGGGTCACACCGTGCTGCCCACGCCCACCACAAGTCTGCATCTTTACCACTTAAGGTGGGCAAACCCCCCCCCACGCCTCCGTTCACCCCAGGATGTGCCCTGCCCACTTGGTGAGGACAGGGATGAGCTCTGAGCTGTCCCCAGGCTGGGGATGGAGGGGAGGGAGGGAGCAGTCGGTAAACCTCCCCAGGCCACCGCCAGGCTTTGTGACTCAGAACCCCATGCAGGGACACCCTCTTGAATTCTATCTTTTCTGGGTTCTGGGCTGATGCTGGTGCCCTAGAGGTCTGGGTCCCCTCTTGAGCCAGAGTCCCTGACTTCCTCCCTGGCATAGGGGACAGGGGACCCACTCTAAAGAGACGTTCATCCCTCATCAAGAGAAGAAAGCAGGGCGGGGGGCGAGCAGGGCGGGGGAACAGATGCGTTCTGCCCCCCCCCCCAGGTGTCTCCAAGGAAGACTCCTCTGCATATCTAGAGCAGAGCCAGGCGAAGCATGTGGAAGACGGGGCTCCTTCCCTGGACCGACACCCTCAGGCTGCACCCACTCGGGGAAGCCACCCTATCTGAGCCTCGGTTTCTCCTGTAGAATAGGATTCCTCAAGGACCCGCCTGGCAGGGAGGCTGTGGGAGGCTGGATGCCGAGGCAGGGTTCAAAGCCTAAGTCTCCCCTAGAGACCCGACACTGGCATCCTGGTGGGCTGCAGAGGGCTGCTCACCATTGAGGTAGAGGCTGTCCTTGTCCAGAGAGTAGGGACCCAGCCTGGTGATGCCCCGAGTCTGCCTTCTCAGCTCGTGGAACACCTGCTGGGCCGACAGACCTGGGCCCCTGGGTGGCCGCTGGTAGGTGCAGAGGAGATTCACCTGGGTCTGCTCACCGTTCTTCACAGACCTGGGGAGGGACAGGGGAACTTTGGGGGCGGGGTGCAGGTGACTTGGCACCTGCCCACCTGCAGTGGAGAGTGGTCACTGCCCCTCACAGCCGGCACCCCAGCCTTCAATTCACCACGTCTCCACAGTGTCCATCTCCCTGTGGCCTTAACCTACGGGATTCCACTCAGCTCTGCATGTGGCCGTGTGTGTGTGTGTGTGGGGGGGGGTGTGGGGGTGTGTGTGTGTGTGTCCGTCCAGAGTCAATGAAATCAGTTTCGCAAAGAGCGATCTCCACTTCTGAGCTCCTCCCAGCACTATCGCCACAGCCAAGACCAGAGACAACCTGGACAACCTCCAACCAGGACACACACACCGTGGGGCGGTGGTGTTAACAGAGACGGACACCCGGTCGCTTGAGAAGCCCTGAATGCAGGTGGAGGACACTGCACGAAGTGAAATCAGAGACTCAGGAAGAAAAAGAGCATGATTTCTCTCCTACGTGCAACCTCGAAGGGACTCCTAATGGTCACGCAGACCGTAGGACGATGGCTGCCAGGGCTGGGGGATGGGGTAGGGTGACACTGGTCAAAAGGTAGAGAGACCTGGATTAGCTGGAAGGTGGCCATCGCTTCAAGGCGGATATCAACATATACAATTTTTACATGTCAAAAGTGAAGTTGTCATAAAACAGAGAACTGAAAAGTCCGATAAGAGGACAAACGAGCACACGCCAGCCGAGGGGCGAGGCCTGTGGTGGGTGGAGGAGGGCAGGGGCTCTTCTCACCTTAGGGCCGTGACCTGGCAGCCTCTGTACTGGGCCCCCAGGCTGCTCCTCTGGAACAAAGGGCTGAGCTGGAGAGGAAGAGGGGAGGCTGTGTTGGTCCAGGCAGGTGCTGCCCTCTGAGGGGGGGAGGGATGGGGGAGGGGAGAAGGCCACTCACCAGGTGCTGCATGAGGATGTCCGTGATGTTGAACTTGAGGGATTGGGGGTGGCGCATTTCAGACGAGTAGCGCAGGTTGCAGAGGGTGAAGTTCAGGGTGAAGGGCTCCCTGCTGACCTCCCCAGCTATAGCAGGTGGGCAAGAGAGGAAGCTGGCAGGGATGACCGTGGCCGAAGGGGGTGGCATGGGGGCCAGGTGGGGGTGGGGTGTGCCCTTGGGTGGGGCCTCCAGGGCCCCCCTGTCTTGGGTCCTGGTGGAGAGCCCCAGGCCACTTCAGCCTCTGCTTCCTGCTTCACGAGTTGCTACTTGCTCGAAGGAGCTGTTTACACTTTTAAAATCATGCCTCAGTTTACCTTTTGACGGCAGGAAGGGAGGGTTTGTGATGGAAGCCAAGGGAGGGTGGGAATGTGGGGGAAGGTGTCCGGAGAGCCCTCCCGCCCTGGGCTGGGACACTGCAATGGCCCAGGAGAGAGACAAGGCGGGGGTGGTGCTTCCCTCTCCGAGGACAGGGGGTGTGGGACGCCGACATCAGGGGTACTCACTGGTGGGGGTCAGGGCTGCGGCTCCAAAGGTGTAACCTGCACAGAGAAGTGAGGCAGAGCTGAGGGTCAGCTGGGGGACCCGGAAGATCAAGGATAGAAGAGGCTTGGGGAACTGTTTTGGGGTCAAAGCAGAGGAAAAGAGGCAGTGGAGGGACGTTCTGGGAGAAGGTAATCGGGCGACCGGACTGCAGGTGGCTGGCCCTGGTCACTGACCCTACGATGGTTTTGGTCCATCTTAAGGAAGATGAGAGTCAGACCCAGAAGGAGAGAAGGATGGGCCCAGGTCCCCACCTAGAGAGATGGAGGCTTTGCTTAGAGCCCTGGGAAAGCCCACTCCAACAGGCAGAGGGAACATGGCTCTGAGACGGCCCCTCACCGTTGACGTAGAGACTGTTCCTGTCCAGAGTGTAGGAGCCCAGCCGGGTGACACCCTGGGTCTCGTGGCTCAGCTCCCGGTACAGCTGCTCCGTGTCCAGCCGGGCGCCCACGGGGTCAGAGTGGAAGGTGCAGACCATATCCACTCCCGTGGACGTTCCGCCATCCTCAGGCCTGGAGAAGGGGGGACATGGGGCGTGGGATGCCGAGGAGGGTCTTGAGCAATCTGGGTGTGGGGGGGAGAAGGCCGAGGGAGACACCGTGGGGCCAGCTGTCAAGGCCACAGGGGGCCTGTCCTGAGTGTGTCATCAGACGGCCTCCTGGCCCTGGGGACCCGACACATCTGGAGTAAACTGTGCAGACAGGGTGTGGGGTTGTCCTCCTGCTTCTCAGAGGAGAGCCCTCCCTGAAGGCAGAGTGTCACCTGGATTTTGTACACTAAACACAGTTCCTCATTTCAAAGCCACCGAATGCTCAGGCCTTTGCCCCCCCTGGGCAGGAAGAAGGGGTGGTGGTCCCACGGCGGGTGCTGGAGGCTCCCTGGCCGGTGCCTGAGGTCCACCCCACCCGGTGAGCACTTCCTGGGGCCCACCTGAGCGAGGCCAGCCTGCAGCCGCCGTAGAGGGGGCCCACGCTGGTCTTGTTGAGCACGGTCTTGAGCTGGTGGGAAGGGACAGGAGGTTAGAGAGCCCGGCCGCAGGGTGACGCGGGCAGGGGTGAGGGGCCGGGGGTGGCCACGGGAGGCTCTCACTTGGCGCTGCAGGATCTTCTCGGTGAAGACGAACTTCAAGGACCCTGGGTGCTCCATCTCTTCCGTGTGTCGCATGTTGGTGATGGTGAAGTTGAGGGTGACCGCTACCACGGAGGAGCCATTGACTGCGGAGGAAGAGGAAGGTGTCAGACACAGGAGCCACCCTGCCGGCCTCTGGCTGTAGACGCCTGAACTTCAGCGGGGGACCTTGTGGAATCCCTAAGACTTCAGGAACCTTGGGTCATTCGGGGAGCATTTACTGAGTGCCTCATGTGTGCAAAGGTTCTCTGATGGAAGTGGCAACACCACTATGCTTTTGGGGGGTGGTGGGCGGAGGCCACGAACATTCAGGAAGGCCACCAAGCAATGACTTAAGATGGCTTTCCAGAGAAAGCACCATTTCAGGTGTGACCAAAAGCCTGGGTAAGGGGCCCACCGTGGAGCGCGGACTCCAGGACGGAGCAGCCACCTGGGCAAAGGCTGGGAAGAGGAGAGAGCAAGGTGTGGTGACGCACAGGAACAGGAAGCCTCTCATGGTGGCCGTAGGAAGGGATGACGTGAGAAGGGAGGGACCCAAAGGGGAAGGAATGACTTCTGCAGAACACGGGTCCGGATGTGGCTTGCACACCAGATAGAGTCATCCAAAGATTGACGGGAACCCCACCGACAAAGGTACCTTAGGAGGGAGGTGGCAGCTGTGGTGCAGAGGGTGACGGGAGGCCAGAGTGGAGGCTGTGGGTGTCATCAGAGTGAGGCAGAGAAAGGAAGGGCTTGGGAGACCCCAGAGGGAGGAGGGGTTAGATTGGCTGCGGGGTGGAGGTGAGCAGGAGGTGAGCAGGAACGGTCAAGCCTGGCTTTCTGTCTCTGCTTTTGGCAACGGAGGAGGAGGTTTGGGGGACCTTCTCCTTAGGGTGTCAGAGACCAGGGGGCCTGTGTGATGGCCGGGAGGCGAGAGGGCCACAGGTCAGTAACCTCTGGGTGGCATGGGCTGGACCCAGGATTTGGATCCTAAGCACCTAGACGGTCCCTGGAATCCCCAGAAATGGGTGAGTTCCTTGGGGTAGGTGAGCGAGCAGCGAGAGGAATGATCAGGTGCAAACGGGTCGGTACCAACTGTACTGGAGCAAAGAGAAGCCTGCATCCTGGAGATGCTGCCTTCCCACCTGGGGCAGGCGGAGCCAGAGCGGGTGCTAAGAAGAATGCGGTGGTCATGGGTGCCCAGGAAAAAGGCCAGGAAGCAGATCCAAGGTGTGCTACCTCTTTAAGGGAAGGGGGTCAGCAGTGGAGACTGCCGTGTATGAATGTGTGCCTCTCTCTGCACCCCATTCAGTCTGGAGTCGGGGCCTCCTCCCTGGGGATATGTGTGCAGGCGACTTTGCCACCCCCATTCAGTCCCCATTCCTAGGCATCTCCTCTGGACTCTTCCCCATCCAAAGAGTGGGTGATCAGGGAGGGCCGGCTGGTGGAGGAGCTCCCAGTTTCGGGGGCAGGGTGGAACCCAGGGATCTGGACTACTACGGTTCACAAAATGAACACAGAGCCCTCACCTGGAAAGGGTCAAAGTCCACTCCTAACCCCAGAGCGGCAGAGGCTTTACTTCAAGTAAAGTCCTGGATGGAAGCTAACTTAGGATCTGCCCCAGCAGGGAAGGACAGTCGCATCCCAGCACGGCCCTTTACCAGAGCGTGGATCCTCTAACTGCAGAAGTTGGGGGAACATACCCCAAGTGCTGGGCTGGGGCCTCCCACATCCAGGAGATGCTCGGGAGGAGATGCCGGGGTCTGGGAACTAGCAGGTATAGCTCCCAGTACCTAGTGGGTTGGACGGGGCTGGGATTGGGAGTAGAGGCAAGGAGCCCTGGCCTCGAAGGGCTTGGACCAGGCAGAAGGTTACAAGAGTGAGACCTGAGAGAGACCCAGAATACTCACTGCTGGAGGTGGTGGTCGAGGCCTGGTGGGTATAACCTGTACAGGGAGAAGGAGAAAGAGTTAGAGGGAAGGGCTTCAGAGAAGAGAGAAAGAGCATGCAGAACTCACGGAATTGCTGTGAGAGATGGCAGCCCCTCACCATCAACATAGAGACTGTCCTTATCCAGGGTGTAGGGCCCCAGCTGGGAGACGCCCTGGGTGAGCTGGCTCAGTTGCTCGTACAACTGCTTTCTGTCCAGTCCAACACTTGTGGGGCCGGGGCGGCGGGTACAAGTAGCATCCACTCTGGTGGCAGCCCCATCCTTCTCCGGCCTGGGAAGAGCAAGTAAGAGAGACGGCTGTAAGTCGAGAGCCCAGGAAGGGGTCCTGAGTTTCGGAGGAGCAGGTCAGGAGGCAGCCAGAGGCAAAGACAAGTGTGGCAGGGAAGTGAGAGGCCAGGCTAAGATCCTGTGAGGGACACTGAGGGCAGAGTCAGGGACTCAGGAGTCTTTATTAAATGGCGAGACTTGAGCCTGCATCCCACGGCACGTGGGCAAGAGTCAGACACTGGGGACAGACAAGAGGTGCAGCTGCTGATGAAAACAGGCAGAAAATACAAGTTCCTCCTGGGAGAGCATTTAACACTCAGAGAAAATGGCCCCATTGGGAAAAGGAGCAGAGTGAGATTTGGGAAGGACGACCATCACGTGGGAGATCCAGTATGGTTGATGGACTCTACAAAATCCAGGGGCGGGCGGGGGGAGTTGAGGGGTGAAGTTGTAGATTTAGGACACTCCTGGTGCTAGAGCCAACACCTCCTGAATTCCACCTCTACTGAAGACAGCCAGAGGAGTGAGGGAAGGAAGATGACCAAACTCCGGAGCTGGGGAGCACGTGAGGAAGTCATAGACTGGTACTGCAAGCACTCACCTGAGCAAAGTCAGTCTGCAGCCAGAGTACAGGGGACCCACACTGGTGTTCTTGAACAAGGGTCTGAGCTGTGGAGGAGAGAGAGGGGGAGTGGGTCAGCTGAGAGGTGGGCAATGGCACCATTGGTGGGTGTGGGGATCCTGGAGGATACAGGTGCATCAGAGGGTGGGACACAGGCA